TTGCAGGTGACCTTCATAGACAACGGAGTATTACTGCAGGTGACCTTCATAGACAAAGAAGTACTATTGCAGGTCACCGTCATAGACAAAGGAGTAATATAGCAAGTGACCGTCATAGACGAAGGAATACTACTGCAGGTGACCTTCATAGACAAAAAAGTACTATGGCAGGTGACCTCCGTAGACAAAAAAGTACTATTGCAGGTGACCTTCATATACAAAAAAGTACTATGGCAGGTGACCTCCGTAGACAAAAAAGTACTATTGCAGGTGACCTTCGTAGACAAAAAAGTACTATTGCAGGTGACCTTCATAGACAAAGGAATACTACTGCAGGTGACCTTCATAGACAAGGGAGTACTATTGCAGATGACCTTCATAGACAAATGAGTACTATTGCAGGTGACCTTCATAGACAAAGAAGTACTATTGCAGATGACCTTCATAGACAAATGAGTACTATAGCAAGTGACCTTCATGGACTTACAGTTCACAGGTATTATAAAGTGTGTGTATGCAAGCATTTTCTCCCCGACTTTCTTTCACAACAAACCAAATAACCTTCTTTTGCCGAATTAAAGCTAAATTCAGCCAAGTTGATCACATGTTTAACGTTCTCGGAATTCAGGTCTATAATCCATAAAACTATATGTATGTGAAAACAAATATTTGTGACCTTTTTGATGAAGATATATCTCATTCAGAGCACGTCTTGTCTCTTCGTTGTAAAAGGGACGCCTAACGATTTCAAGAAATTATTTTAAATGCACTTTGAATCACTGAAAAAAATGTTTAGATAATAAAGTCTTATCGTAATGTGGGCAAATATAGAAACATCCCTGATCTCTGGTAAAAGACCTGATTGAAATCAAATATCCTTTCTTCTGATACCAACACTGTATCCGAAGTTCATTGATTGACCGGATTGCCTGCTGAAGAAATGAAGATTTGTTGACGTAAGAAAAACATGAGCCTAATCGGTGGAAGTGATCGAACTGTATACCTACATGTAAATAAAATGATAAAAAGGCGTGTAAAACAGTCCTCAGATTTCTTGTGATATCATAAACCTTGTAGCATGTCAATGAAAGGTATGTGTACAAGGATCTTACCTTCTGTTATAGTCTAGTTCAACAGTCAAAGAACAGTTCAGGTCAATTGGCACTTATTTGAACAAACGTTGAAGTCTTTCAACCCTGTGTGCTGCAGTACTGACCAAATATCATGACCCTGGGCATTTTGGTTTATTTTGTGAAAGTATTTGAGAATTTAAGACATTTGACCCTTTGGACATTGAAAGTGGATTCAGACCATAAATTGAACAAACTTGAAAGACCGTATTTCACCATGGTACTGGCCAAATATTGATATCAGCAATAAATTTTATTAAAATTTTTAACACATTTGAACCCAGTGACCTTGAAAGCGTTATTCCGTTGAACAAAATTGAAAATCTTTCACCTTTGTAATCTGTAAGCCTAATATCATGACCCAAGGCCAATTGATATTCGTTAATTCGCTTGAAAAAAAAATATAATAAGGTAGTGGACACTGGACGAACGACAGATGGATGGATGGACTGACGGCCAAAAATCGTATATTTCAGTCAACATTTTGTTTAGTCGCTGGATATAAAGGAGGTAAAACAAAATTAATGGCTAAATATTATCAAGCCAATGAATAAAGAATTTTACTGGCATTGGATAATCACACCTACCATGTATTCTGTTTCCCAGTTAAAAGGTAGGGTGCGCCTATAATGTCGAATGTGATATATGTAAGCTAAAACATCAAATGGGTATTTCCATGAAACAGTTTTGTTACAATTTGAATAACAAAGCTACATACCTAACAGTTTTAAAAGGAAACGACGATGCAAAAATAATCCGAAAACAAGACATGTAGTTTAGTGTTATGTTAGTATCGTCAGCAAGATAACTGCCCTACTATGAAGAAGAGTTCATGTGCAGACTCAGACAAAACGAGCGGTAGGTGGGGGATACAGAGCGATTTACAAAATCATACATGGAAAATTCTAGTCAATTTATCTACGAATTTGATTTTCTTTTTTGCAGCTATCGGCAATTCATCGATCCATCAAGATTCCTGTAACAATGGAATTTTATCTCTGATACTCGACTCCATCCTCCATGTAGCAGCAGTTTTTTAACCAGAATATATAACGTATCTTCTCTCGATGGAAATCTCGAGAGACTGTTGAAAGGTCAACATATCTAAATCTGTCACAGGTAAGTTACGGTTACTGAACTTTGATTTGTTCTAGCCTCTCCTCTAGATTACACAATTTATATCCAGACAACATGTATCATTATTTGCTCTCGAGAATTAATATCTTATTATTTTTATATAAATTGTTAATGCTGTATTGGTGCTTATATTTGGCAATGGCTCAGTTTTAGAAATACAGTTTTCTTTCAGTATCACAACCGTTCTTTGTCTGTTTATGAATACATGATCAAAATAAAAACCTTCCTTAGGATAAATGTGTGTGGTTTTACATGCTCTGTTGCGTTATGTCATAAAACTAGATTTATCATGTATCCACTGAACAGGAAGACCCCAGAGTGTCATCATACTTAATATAAATCTATATACGTGTATCGTCAGCCCATCCCATGAAAGCTGACAAAACTTGTATACAGACAATATTAGTATTTTACACCTGTTCCTTGTGTACTTAGTAAAACTTAGCCTATACACATGTCTGTAAATTAAAATAAAAATGTTTAAACCGTACAGACACTATTCTTGTACGAAAGAACCATTGTGGTTTAAAATATTTACTGAAATAACAAAAAATAATGCAATTTCCTCTGAAATACCGCTGTAATAGAAATGAAACTTGAACAGGAGCATGGGTTGAAACAATGGCCAATTTGATTATATTAAGCCATATCTACAATAGCACGGCCTTCGAGACATTGTTCCTTGTCACAAAGATATTCTAGTCCATGTCTGAAAGGTTTTCCTTTTCAAAGTGGTGTGAATTGGATGCAGCTTTTGACAAACCATCACATCTGCATTTTAGAGACGCCAGTGTTTCACAAGAAATATAATGATAACATAGTTACGATCATATAAAGACCAGTAGTCGTCTCTGATATTTTCAACTACATACATTATTTATAATAATTTCATACTTTTCAAATGACACAAGTTATTTATAGAATCTTATGCAAAAGTTTATATAATGAATAGATCACTTAATTAACGTGTTAGGTAATTTAAGTTTTTAATATCTATTTCAAAGACAGTTGTATAATTGTCTATATACAAAGAAAACAAATAAGCAATTCAGACTTCGTAGATTAATGATGTTAATAGAGTTCTTTCTTGTTTCCTACCATGTTTAATGGCCGCTGTTAATTGCCGATGGGAGATAACTCTGACACAGGATTCAGACATATGTCACTAACGTGCGCTTTCCTTCTTTTCTTTGAAATATCCAATATCTTCTATAATATCTATTTGTTATTGAAAAACTACAAAACATATTATTGTGGTGCATTAATTAATTTTCATTATCTCACCTTTCAGTATTTATTAATCAGCATTCCTACAAGGACGTGTGTGCCGTTAAGCTAACCTGTACTAAATTTCGAAAAGGAGTTCTCGTTTGTTCCTACTGTACATAGAGTCCTAGGGTATGAGAAAGTGCTGGGACAAAACACTTAATGAGTGTATACAATGGTTAGACACCAAGCCGTGAAACAGAATAGAATAATTTAGAAGACCTTTTGCGTGCTTTTCACACCGTGATAAAGGACAGGAAACAACACGGCCTTACCAGAGATCTCGGGGTCGAGAATGGCCACGCTAACGCTACCATCACTGTACTGGCGGATCATGAAGGTTGCCATATAAAGTCAGAAATGTAACGATCACACACAACTTGTTAACTGGTGCTGTTGAAAGGAGGAATCACACTGGACCGCAATCGGCTATAAACGATTCGGGTGATTATTGTACTTACGTCACAGCAGTGTTTAGGAATTGGTAGGAAGGTTTGTGGTACAGATATTATTGTGTCAGAGAAAGGTGAATATGTGTCGTTTAGTGGGTAAACTCATTCTTGTATGCAAGGCACTGGGATTACTGTAGAGTACCTGAAGACTACTTTCGACTTTTAAACAGAGTAGTTCATTTGTACATGTACTCGTTTTCGTATACAACCTGTACAGTGCTATAGCATTTGGGATACCAAGGAAGATGAGTACAGTATAGTGAAGTAGCTCTTATTTAAACGGAGTACTGAGGTTTTATCAATAGATAAAAAAAGTTTCAAGGAAGCAGAATATCGTTTTGTGGAGAATATCTTAACAAGTCTTATTTACAAGAAAATGGGCATCAATTAAGGAATTGAGTACCATTGTTATCAAATAGTAGTGAAATAAGTTATTATTAATCTAGATCACCAAGCTGTAAATTCCAAGTAGACTGGTGTACTGTCCTTATATGAGTTTCATCAACCTTAGAAACTATAAGTACAAGTCATTTAAGTTTTAAGTGTCACCCTTTCGAGAAGTGACAACTGCACAAGTTATATGTACAAACTTCGCTTTTCAAGTTCCAGTACCGTTGTATTTCTCGACTGATGTACCGCGACCTAACAAGTTTGAAGTACTAATCTTTCGAGTTACAAGTGGCGACCGTAACGCCGAAGTGGCAATCCAGTAAGCTAGAAGTAGCAAGCTTTCGAGCTGGAAGTACCAACCTGACGGAGTACCAATTCCAACCACCTTACGGAGTACTAACCTTTCGGAGTTGAGTACAGTGGTGTCCTGTCTCCCACACAGGGGTGTGATGCTGGTGTAGAGTGTGTGGGCAGCCACTGTACCCCTACTGACTGTAGCAGCTGTGAAGAGCAGTGAGCGAAATCAACACTATACACAGCTTATGTGATACTTGTCAGAGGCAGTAGTGTATTTACCCGGAGTAATGGCCGACTCCATTCACCATCATTCCCGCCACCAAACATAGCTTGTGATTGATGGCATGGGGAATTTGTAGGAGGGATAAAAATGCTATCTAAGCGACACTATGACCTTGTTTCGGAAGATGGGTATGACACACGGATTCCCCTTCACAACGAGGATGCTTTCCAACATGGAATACACTTTCAAGCAAAGGTAAGTTTATTAAAGTTTTTTTTCCAATCATTAAAAAAGTTTATGTTTCCACACTCGGATTTTTTAAAAACTTTTATTGAATGTTTGATGAGCTAGGATTAAACAGAGTATATCATGTATGTTTTATGTACATGCATGTACGTACATATAAACAGATGTAGGATAAAAAGAGATTTAAATTCCAACGAATAGTTGACACGCGAATCACACACATACTATACACATACAAAGTGGTGTGTATGCTGCTGATGGTGTACTGGTGAGGGGGAGGAGGGGCACAGGATACCGGAGGGGCAGGTTATGTATGTCATGGAGGGAGTTAGAGTGGTCCAGTGTCCAGTACTAGGAAGCAGTGTGTGTACATTTTGTATGTCAGGGAGGGAGAGGGCCGTTTATTGAGTACTGTAGGGGCATGTTTATCCATGTCAGGCAGGGAGAGTAATCAGTGAACTGTTTACTAGTGGTACCGAGTATGTACGCTAGGTAGGGAGAGGGGGCCTTGTACTGGTCAGGTAGGGAGAGGGGACATGTACTGGTCAGGTAGGGAGAAGAGACCATGTACTGGTCAGGTAGGGAGAGGGGAAATGTTCTGGCCAGGTAGGGAGAGGAGACCATTTACTGGTTAGGTAGGGAGAGGAGACCATGCGCTGGTCAGGTAGGGAAAGGGGCCATGTTCTGGTCAGGTAGAGAGAGGAGACCATGCACTGGTCAGGTAGGGAGAGGGGCCATGTTCTGGTCAGGTAGGGAGAGGAGACCATGTACTGGTCAGGTAGGGAGAGGGGCCATGTTCTGGTTAGGTAGGGAGATGAGACCATGTACTGGTTAGGTAGGGAGAGGGGACAAGTACTGGTCAAGTAGGGAAAGGGGACAAGTACTGGTCAAGTAGGGAGAGGGGACCTTGTACTGGTCAGGTAGGGAGAGGAGGCCATGTACTGGTCAGGCAGGGAGAGGGGACCTTGTACTGGTCAGGCAGGGAGAGGGGACCTTGTACTGGTCAGGTAGGGAGAAGGAACCATGTACTGAATACTGGAGGACTGTGTTTATGTCAAGGAGCGAATAATGTATAATGTGTTTGTACATGGGGTTGGAGGTATGGGAGGGGCTGTATATATACATGACTTTGTAGGGGACGAAATGGATTGGAGGGGCTGTATAATGTGTTTATAGGAGAGGGAGGAGACCCATGTATTATGCTGGAGTGGCTGTATGTATGCTAATATTCAGGAATAAAAGTCAAATGAAATATATAAATTGTAAAATAATATAAGATGTATATTCATATACTGACCTGCAAGGTTTTGTCAAATATTATGATATTAATTTATTTAAACGGTTTAATTCTTGATAGTTGTAATAATAATTGTGTCAGTTTCTGTGTATCAAAGGCAATAGAGGTGACTGGGATTTCTTACTTATAGGTACAATAGATTTATTGTTAATGATATATACTGTGTATACAAGTCCCATGTAAGGTGGTAACATGACAGGTTAATATCTTACAAAAACGTTCAGTATAAATATATCAATATTGTATTAATATTATAATCTAATTATTAAAACAGTAATCGTAATTAATACTGTAAATTCATTAATTTTCATTGTTTTTTTTTATTTTTGTTAAATTTTTAGTTACTGTTATTAAACACTAATCAAAGTGTCTATGAATAATGAACAGATTAAAATGGATTTCAGTACTTAAGCAGAATTCATGAGCAAAATACATCTGAGAAATAAAGTGTCGAGGAAACTAAAAAAATTCCATGTAGTACAACTAATGGATTTCATGAACAAAATAAACAAAAAATGAAGTGCCAACAAAAATGCAAATTTTGTAAAACCGAGAAATTTGAGCCTGACAAAAGAAAATGATATAATGTCAAAATCAATTAACTTGATATTGATGTTGTTACTGTCTCAGAATTTATTGATACGGAGGATTCCAGACAGTAGAATTTGTGTGACCTAAGGGAAGTCTATTCAATTCCTAATAGCGAGAAAGTAATAATCACTTTTAATATTTTGAAAATGATATTTTCAAGATCTGTATGATTAGGTGCCTTTCTTAACGATGTTTACATGTCCAGTAGCTTTTGGTGATGTGTAGGATTTAAGACAATAACTTTGTTAGTTGGTATAGGGTTTAGTATGTCAAGAGTATGTAATTAATAAGTAATGAATAATGATACAGACTAGTCATAAAAGGATGAAAAATTCATTTGTTTTATTATATCCAGGTTTCTTGCTGTTAAACACAAGTTTGTTGTAGACATCCAACTACCTTGTCTGCGTGTTTAACATCGAGCTTACATCATCATACCCAAATTTCACTATTTTATGTCCAAACCTGAATATGTAATTTTTGTCATGTTAATTGATTGCAATTAAAGAGCATGAACTACCAATACCATATATAATATAACCCTTCTCATTTGAAATTGGCAGAATTAGTGTTTATCATGCAACCATCTGATGGAAATAACATGTTGAACGGTAGACGAATGAAATCTTACATTGATATAGCTGGGTATGATATGTAAATATTAATTGATAAAGGTAGGTGTGATATGGAAATATTAGTTGATATAGCTAGGTGTGATATGAAAATATTAGTTGATAAAGCTGGGTGTGATATGGAAATATTAGTTGATAAAGCTGGGTGTGATATGGAAATAGTTGATGAAGCTGGGTGTGATATGGAAATAGTTGCTAAAAGCTGGGTATGATATGGAATCATTAGTTGATAAAGCTAGGTGTGATATAGAAATATTAGTTGATAAAGCTGGGTATGATATGGAAATATTAGTTGATAAAGCTGGGTATGATATGGAAATATTAGTTGATAAAGCTGGATATGATATGGAATCATTAGTTGATAAAGCTAAGTGTGATATAGAAATATTAGTTGATAAAGCTGGGTATGATATGGAAATAGTTGATAAAGCTGGGTGTGATATGGAAATAGTTGATAAAGCTGGGTGTGATATGGAAATAGTTGATAAAGCTGGGTGTGATATGGAAATAGTTGATAAAGCTAGGTATGATATGGAAATAGTTGATAAAGCTGGGTATGATATGGAAATAGTTGATAAAGCTGGGTGTGATATGGAAATAGTTGATAAAGCTGGGTATGATATGGAAATAGTTGATAAAGCTGGGTGTGATATGGAAATAGTTGATAAAGCTGGGTATGATATTGGCAATGTATCTACATCATTATTTCTTGATTAATTAACATAAGTCATGATTAGTTGTTTACACTGACCAGTAATTAAGTTGTTCCTGATGGTCACTTTAATTGTTAGCAGGACCTGGCCATTACAGTGTTACCATACAGTTGTGGTTGATTTTTAACAGTATTCGGTCAGATTTCAAACCATTGTTATAGGTATTGTCTGTATATTTTATAAATTAGAATATCTATTCAGCTATATATAATACCTGGATACAATATTCAGTCTACTCTATATAGCTATTGGCTGTTGCAGCTTTGACAGGTTGACAGAAACTCAGACTTAACCAAAGCCGATATGGAATTTTCTTTGTTATGAAATATTTATCAGTGCAATGTGACAGGTTTCATAGTTAGATTGTTTCTGACTTACAATCAATACCATCAAAAGGTTCTTCAACACTTACATGGCAGGTTGGTTATTTCAATATATACAGGATTCCTACATATAGCTAATGAACCTTGTTAAACTAGACCTACAATGAAATGTTGATGATTGTACCCTGCTGATAAGATATAAGAAAAGTATGTTTTTCTCGGGTCACTGAAATTGCGAGTAGATATTGGATCTCACTGTTGTCTCTTGTTCCTTTGAATAAGTTTTGTTTCTAATGCCTCTCACATTTGACTTTTAGGTGACTGTCCACATTAAGTTTTAATGCATTATTTTGTTTTCTGATCTAGACAAACAAAAGTCAGTAAAATTAATTAATACTGTCTGATTGGTGTTCAGCTTTGGTTAAGCAATAAACTTTACAGAGTATGGACAGTAAAATATGACCCAAGGTTGGCTGTCATGTGCTACCTTGTGACCTTGTCAGGATTATGACAATTTAGTGTGATGGCACTATAAATATAAGTTTGAGAGACACCATCATCCTTTGAGGTATTAATACACACTAGTAGCACAAAATGTGATCAGTCAAGCTTATCCTCTGTCTATTCAAGACCCATACTAATACTGACTATGAGAGTTGTTCCTTAAATTTTGTGTTTTAAGTATGGTTTTTGACTTAGTTAAATTTCTTGTCTGGTCTAAAAGCTGTTGCAATTTTAAACAGCTTCCATTTATTGTTTTATGCTGTGTTTTCATTAACATAGTTGCTTTTGCTCACTAATTGAGTCCTATCTGAAGTAGGGGAAAAAACAGTTTTTGTCCTTTCTATTCTGAAGTATATTGATCCAGGCAAAATTCTTGGATCTAGTTAAATGTAGTGGGAAATTTTCTCCAATGGATATCCAATGTCAAAAATAAGGTGGACCACACCTATGTGAAGTTAAAAAGAAATTGTGAAAATAAAGGGGGTGGGGGGGCTCACTTTCATTATTAAGAGTCTAGGGCATTTTTCCCTCAAGGATCATCTTTGTTGTTCAGCTTAATTAACTTGCATAACTTGTGAACGAACTGTCAAAATTGTTAAATTTCAATATTTTGCTATGTAAGACAAAATGTTTAACCTGATTAAATTCAAGGCTTGTGTCTGTACCGTGGGAAGATGAATTCACCTAGCATAAGTCCAGACTCTACTTTAAGGAATGAAATGGATGATAAGCCTCATATTTAAGGTCACTATGGGTTTTAAATGGATTTTACTGCTTTTCCTTTAAAAAAAAACCATTTTTATAAATTATTATTCACAAATTATTATTCACAACAGTGATTTTTACACAGCCTAGCTGATGTGTTGTGACAGCAATGTACATATTGGACACAATTAATAATCCTCATTTGATATTGATTTGAATCATATAATTTACAGTATGAAATACT